TTCTGCAGGCGACAGTGGTGACGGGAGCTACCATTCCATTCAGGGATTACGGGAGAGACCACAATGGCCCCGCAAGAAAGGGAGAATACACAATGAGCTCGAATTCTTTTGTGGGAATGTTTGTACCTGTGCCAAATTAAGGCCCTTGATTTATAGTGGTCTATTTTTCCCTTCGGTGTGCACCATCAGCCCTCTCCCAGAAGCCTCTTACCACTTTCAGGAAGAAGAACATGTGTGCTTCAGAAGCCGCACTGATTAGCCAGGGATCTCAAGTAAGGTCAGGGTCACTGAGAGATTCAGGGTAACTGTCATTCGGGCTGCAAAGGGGTCTACTCTGCGTGATGCATTCACTGCGCAGGAGGCTTGGCTGCCGTCTGATTCAAGCCTGGTTTGCAATGACAGCCCTGCAGCAGTGACCAGGGGACCCAAGCCAATGACTAGTGCTCTGCTTCTGCAAGCATGGAAGCAGAGGAGTCAGGCTGCTAGGTTCTCAGCTGCCAGCTCCACATGCTACGACCCGATGAGTGCTCTGCTAGCAGCAGACCCAGCTCCCAGGAAAGATGGGTGTCATGCAGAGAATTGGCTGCCAACATTTTAGGTGTGCACTCACGCACTCTTTGGGATCCTCCCAGAATCATCTGGAGACCATTCCAACTGGCTGAACTGGTGCCTACAGAGGGGTGGTCGACATCCTCGTTTGGGGACAAACGAGCCTATTCTGCACCCAGGATTCTCAGTCCCCATTCTGAATTCACAGCCAGCCAACTGCAGGAACACACCTAAGCTGGTTAAGCCTTTGCACTTTCCAGAGATCGAATCTGGGGCTGGCTAAGTTGCAGGGCCAGAAATGCACAGAGCTCAGCCCACTGCCAAGAAAAGGCAACACTTAACAAATAGTGCTGTAATTGTCATCGTTGTTGCTAACACCCGGCCCTCAGTGCCTCTAGTCATAAGGCATCTCCCTAAGGGGTGCTCTCAGCGTGCCTCTACCTTAATCATCCCAAGAAGGAAGGTCCCACGTAGGGGACTCGGGGGTTGTTGTGTGGCTTCAGAAACTAAGATCATTGTAATGATAACATCTAATATTTAGGTCTTGATGTGCACTAAGCTTTAGGAGAAGCACTTTACCCTGCATGTAATCCTCTCTGCAGACCCCAGGAAACGGAGGCCTGGGGAGTGGACTAACTTGCCCTGGGACATACGTAGTGAGACCAGGAGCCAGGATTTGGGGGCCCTGAGCAGCCTGACTCCAGAGTCCACTCCACTAGACTGTCCCGTAGGTGGGACGCAGAACAGGACCAAAAGCAATCCGCCCTAACACTCCTCCCCCAAAGCCTGCCACGGAGCAAAAAGAAGGTGGCACGTGAGAGTCAGGCTCTGAAGCTATTTCTGTTTTGAAAGTCACTAAGAACATCACAAGAGCCCTTGTGACCCGACCCCCAGTTCACGCTTCGAGTTGCTCATTCCTGCAGTGAGTGCCCCTGAGCATCTCTGGCAAACCCAAGATGGCACAGGTAACGTCAGCATCTCTCGGACGAGGCCCCCTCCACTAACGGGGCATGGGAAATCCAAAGAGGTCAGGGGTCGCGTCTTTACTATGCACCACTGCGTCTCTGCTGCGGAAACGGACTGAATGAATGCAAAACAAAGGAAACTATTCCACAGAAGCGGAGGATGAAAACAGACCCTTAAAAAAAAAAGCACCTGTAGGTAACGATGCCTATCCCATAATGTCATCTATATGTTCATGTTGCAAAAAATAACGAGACGTTAGCAATTTCAGGATTAGTGTTCTCTTTCTCTATTTCCCTCAACAAGAAACAGGATCTGCTCTGCATTAGAATTATAGCAAGAACTGGCCCTTAGCAGGAACCATATGATTTTAATGCACAGATGAATTTCAATTAGACATTTACCTAACCATGCTGATGTGTTTTAAATTTAACCCTAAATTACAGACTTTCCAAATAACTCTGCTCTTCCCTCTGCTTCTCTCTCTTCAATTTTGGTTTGGTTTTGTGAAAGGTCTGCTGGTAAAAATGAAGCAATACCAGTAACTTATCTACAAATTACGGGAAGGAGAAAGTAGGTTAAAAAAGATCAAGAAACTTAAAACAAGCATGATCAAACCACATCCTAGTTAGGCAGGAAACAATAGGAGACCGTTCTTGCTCAGAGGGAAGGAAGGTGAATCTGACCAGGACTACTGTCAAGCAAGTCATAAATGGGGTTCACCTCCACTCTGCCCAAGTTTCAAGTGCAGTCATCCGAACACAACAAAGTTCGATTCTGCACCCAGGGAAAGGCGATACCCGGAAGCAGAAAGCTGACACTTTCACTTGGGCTGGCAATTCCTTCCACACTCAAAACAATCTCATTTTTGGTTCAGGCGTCCACTACAACGAGCAGTTGTGTGTCTATCACAATGGAGGCAGGAACTTCATCCCAAAAGGAGGCCAGCAGGAGAAAGAACAGATCTCCTAATGCTCCCTCTCATTACAGGGTTCGACCAAAGTGGGTATCCCAAGCTGAGCGGTCGCCAGGAACTTTGTGCAATTTGCTTTTGCTCAAATTGCAAACCCCAAGCGTTGAGGCCAGTATCCTGCTGTGACACTGTACTAGAGTTTTGTAAGATGTAACCACTGGAGGATGACCAGGCCAAGGGGTATGATTATTTCTCACAACTGCATGCCTATCAATCACAATGAAAAAACCTGCAAACCCCAGCACCCCAAAGATCTCTGCGTTCATCTCTCGGAATACCAAGTCAAACTTTGGCACTGAATGTCTTACAGGAAGACCTTCTGGGACAAAGCCTGAGCAGCGACCAAAGAAAGTCCAAAGGGTCTCAGCACATCCCAGCTTGCTATTAACGTAAATGCCGTACGGGTCTGTAGAGGCTGCGTGGGGAGGGAGCACATCCAATGGCAAACACATGCCCCGTCTGATGGCGGGGGCCGCCTCGGAGAAGCTTGCTGCTCGGAAACATGTATATAATGGGGACCAGACCTGCTGACTGTTCAACGCAATCCCGAAATCTGGAGTTTTATGTGGAACTTCCTAAATGTTAAAGTTGGTCATCCATAAAATTTTCTTTTAAATACTTCGAAGACCAAACCAAACAGCTCTGAGGGCTGGACTGGACCCCTCAGGTACCTGATGGACACTTTCGATATATTTCCCTCCCATCCTCACCAACAGCCCTCCGGAGTTGGACCTGCTCTCCCTGTTTTCTAAATGGGGTGAAACAATGTGCGTGAAGGGAGCTGGGGGGCCTCAGCAGCTCGGACCGGAAGGCCCCATGGGTTCTGTGGAGTCAGCACACCACTGCTTGCATTCAGTCAGCAAGACGGAGTTTAAGAAAGTTGCAGAGAAATGTCTCCAGCTCCATAAACACGAAGTTAGTTCCACGTGTGCTCATCTATGGTGTCCTGGCACGGGCCCTGAGGGGAGTCCTTCCCGGTTCAGTATTCGTCACCCTGTCGCCTCTAGGTTACATCCTCTTGCCAAAAGCTACTCCTTCCCTTTAGAGCACTTCTAAGACTTGCGATAGTACATTTGTTTGTCTCTTTGATCAACATCAGTCTCTCCTACTGGACTATAAAGCTCCAACAAGACAGACTATTTAGGATTTTGTATATCCGCAGAGCTAACACAGTGCCTGATCTAAAGAAAGGGCTTAATAAACACTTGTTGAATGAATCAAAGAAGGGATAGGCCAGACAGAGGCCATGAAAGGGCCCCATTCAACTCAGCTGAACTAATGCCACCACCAACAAGGCCAGAAAGTTTCTGGGAACCTTTTCAGAGGCTCTATGACTCCCTTCAACAGCCAAATGGCCCAGCCAAGCCACCATACACCAGAAAAACCAGCAGGGCAGGGACTCCTGTCACTGCATTCCGGGCGGTCTTGGCCTTTCGCACTACAGGATCACACTCCACCCACCTGCTAGCTCAGGTATGGCAACAGAGTTGACTGCCCAAGGGCAAACCTAGCCCTGTTACCTTTGTGCCTATTGCCTGAGAAACCGGTTGCAGAGACATAGTGCTCCCCAAACAGCCTCTGTGTGAAACACTGTGCTCATGTCAGATACATATGCCAAGCCCAAGCTGCAACAGATACGAGGAGACAAGGTGCCCGCCAAAGCTGCTTAAAGCTGCTGCAAGCAGAGGGAACCTGGGGCAAGGGCCTTCCAGGGTGCAGGTACGGTGAAGTCACAGGGACAAAGGCAGAAACACAGGGCATGCTGGGGAAAAAGCAAGCTGGACCGGTACCAAGGAAGCCTGGAGTTCAGGACACAGGAGCAGGATGGTAGGAGGGAAGACAGGCAAGAGACACAGGGGCCAAGCTGGGAAAACCTGGGAAGAAATCATACCACCAGTCTCGGGAGTCTTCCCTTAGCAGAGTGCAAAATGCACAAACATGCACAAACCGCAGATGTGCTCTGTTTAGGCCACAGCTGGGTGATCGTTTAAAACTCGGGAGTGTTTGCATCCAAATGGAGATTTCCAGCTTCTCTGAAAATATGAGGAAACCAGGAACTACTGCATCCATATTCCTGCAGAACTGACAAAGGATGCATATGCTCTCCAATTTGCCACAGTCCCCACCCTTCCCTACTACTCTCTCATGGGGGTCCACATCATGCATAGATGTTCTCTGTCCAGCCTCTGTAGGTATTTGTGCCTTAGATAAGTATTCTCTCATTCCGTCCCAGTAACAGTGTCTCACAGATACATAATCTGGGGCCCAGAGCAGTACAATTTCCTGTTCAATAACATACAATCAATCAGATCCACTCAGTACCCAACCCAGATTTTCCTGGGTACACATTTCAAGACTCTGATTAGGTTCCTTGAATCCCAGACCAGCTTACACATCATCATTGCCGTAGAGGCAGAATGTTGCGGTTTCTGGTTTTAGAGAAACACACACATGAGCAAACTGAGCAGCGGCTTCTTATCAAGGTCTAGGAACAGTCCCAACACTAATGACTTACACAACTTCTCTGAACATCCTGTTCGGTCTTAGCGTACATCTCAGAAAGATCACCATTCAGAATGACTTCAGCTAACGAGTTCACCAGGGGTGCGTGATGTATAATTAGGAAGACCTGGTGAGAAAGAAGACATCGGATTTGCATTAAAGGCTGCAATCTCTCCACCTCTCCCTTTCTGGATCAGAAACAACTAGGTTGGGCTACTTAGGCCCTGTGTTGAGCAGCATTCCCCATGAAGCAAAATCCAAAGAATGGGTCCCATTTAGGAGAAGCCAGTGATGCCACTCTCCATCCAGGGTCGGCCCCTCCTTCATTCAGACTGTTGCCTATTTGGCTGGCTGCTCCCCAGCGGAAGGAAGTGCATTAAAGCAAGACTGTCCCTCATGGCTGGGGGAAGCCAAATCCGGTTGATGTGGAACAACGTGGGAAAGCAGCAGCCAAACCAGCACACTCCTTCCTCTCCACAGGCATTTTAGTGTCAAATTTGATTATACTAAGACTGGAAGGCACAGGCCCAGCATTTCAGTTAGACGGGAAGAAGGGGCCGGCGAGTCTTGTTCCAATCAAGGACTTGGCAGAGGGTTGGCTACCCAGAGATTCCATCGCTGGAATGAGCTCTGACCCCTGCGGTGGGTTTCAGCACACCAAGATTTCATGGCAGCGATGGGAGGTGTGGACGCTGTGGGGAACGAAGGCCACATGAGCCAGAGTCGGGCCTAGTTGTGCCAGCATGCAAAATCAGAAGGCGCTGCGCTGTCTGGGATGGCCCTGCTACCCCACCCTGTTGCCCAATGCTCAAAAGAACAGCTTTGGGAATCAGGGTATTCAAAGCTGCCTCCGCAAAGCTGGCTCAGACACACCTGCTACTTTGTTTTAAAATATAAAGACGAGGGGCGCCTGGGTGGCTCAGTTGGTTAAGCGACTGCCTTCGGCTCATGTCCTGATCTCAGGGTCCTGGGATCGAGCCCCGCATCGGGCTCCCTACTCAGCGGGGAGTCTGCTTCTCCCTCTGACCCTCCCCCCCTCATGTGCTCTCTCTCTCATTCTCACTCTCTCAAATAAATAAATAAAATCTTTAAAAATAATAATA